CAACCAAGGGGAGGAGGAAAGTATGGAGGGGGGGGGGGGATATTAGCATGTCACCTCCTGTGGTTACAAATGGCAGGAAGCATCAAGAGGAGATGCAGCTCTTCACTGCTTGGTCTCTCGCACCCTTCTGACCCCGGAGTCCCTTCATCCCCTGCAACTAAAGTCTTTTGCTGAAATGTTCCACCAGTGGCGGAACTATCAGGGTCGCAGAGGTCGCGGCTGCGCCCTGGAGTTCCGCCACCTGGAGGGGGCCCAGGACAGGAGGAAGGGGCCCCTGGTAACCGCTGATTACCAGGATATTTATTATCCCGGTAACTGCTAATGTCAGTCCCGGGACCTCTCTCTCCTGTCCTGGGCCCTACATGCTTCACGCTGCTCCCCTCACCTTGTTCCGGGCGCAGCGTGAAGTATCATCCAGCCGGCGCAGCAGCCAATGAGTGGGAGCGGTGTAATCCCCGCCCCCTCATCACACAGAACTGCTGCCCAGTGCCGAATAGAGAGCTGCTGCGGACACGAAGGGGGAGTGGTCACTAGTTACGCCTCTGTGTTCCATCAACATCACCTTCATTTCACTCTTCATCCTTATTCTCATCATTTCATACATTATTAGTACCACTGATATGTTTTCCTGTGATTTTTTCATGATACCAAAGCGCTTCTGGTCTATTAATACAGATCAGGGGTAGGCAACCTTAGCACTCCAGCTGTGGTGAAACTACACATCTCAGCATGCCTATGGGAGTCAAGCCTGTGGCTATCAGAGTCTTGCAATGCCCCATGGGACTTGTAGTTCTACAACAGCTGGAGTGCCGAGGTTGCCTACTACGAAATAGAAAATAGTTTTTTTCTCTCTCCCAGGCCTGATGAAGAGGGTATGCTAAGAGCCCCCCGAAATGCTTTGGCTATTTCTATAGTGTCCTCTCAACCCTACACTAAATAAATGGAGTGTGGCGCTTGAATTCACAATCTTGCCATTAAAGAAGAGCTCTGGGTTAAAAATGTTCTCAACCCTTGCAGAGGGGCTACTCCAGCACTGCAAGGGTTAAGTGCTCATTTTATACCTAGGGTCAAAGATAACAAAGTTATACTCACCTGATCCTCTGAGCCGGCTTGCTCTTAGACCGGTCCTTTGAGCATCTCTCCCCTCCTCTGCAGAGGTCTAAGGTCATCATGTCCAATAGACAGTGTATAGAATGTGAGGACCCTGAGGGACATGCTGTGCAGTGGGGGAGACAGGCTGCAGGGAGCATGGGTAGCCCCACTGCAAATGAATAGTTTTTCCCGGAGTTCCTCTTTAAGATGAGGAATTGCTAACTCACTTATGTTAAATCTGCCTGAAAACTGGAACACAGATTTTCATGATCTATGGACGGTCCTACAGTTCAGAATGTCCGGGTACCCTGGATTGATATATGGTATTATGCTCTACAAATCTGCATGCATACACTCAGGTGATTGATAACTTGCATTTCACGGCGTCACACTTATGATCACCTGAGGACTTTGTCTTGTTAAGCTGTGCTGCAGTGTGAAGAATAATTTGGCCCTGTAGCCCTAGGTACCAGTGGGCAATGTGCTCTTCATGGGTCTTTCTGTGACTACACCTGCATCATACCATGTCCAGAAAAAACTGAAGGTGAAGTCGTTCTGTGATGTGAAAATGGGGAAAGATTTGAATGTTTTTAGTGTATTTTCTCTGAGGGTTGAATGTTCTTCAAATAGGTTCATCCATGTAGAACAGAAAGAAAATAGCACATTACAGCCACTAGGTGGAGCTGAGAATCATAGGACACACATACATAGAGTAACTAAATACAAATAAAGAGAATGCCTCTTCAATCTCTACCTACACCCCCCCAGCTGACACCCTACCCTATGCTGCATACCTTTACCTTCCCGCCCCTTTCCTGCTTTCCCACTCTCAGCCCTGTGCATCTGCTTAACAGAGACCCTTTACCCTATTTCCTCTGCTCGGGGACCCTGTATACTCAGAGCTGAATAGCTGGCCCATGCCTCCCTGGGCCACCAACCCAAGGGAACAAATTAGCTTGATTGGTACTGTAAAGTAGTCACCGCTCCACGCTCGCTCCCGGGATGGACTACAATCTCATGTTTAGTTTAGTAATTTATATTGAGATTGTAGTCCATCACAGGAGCAAGCTTGGAGCGGTGACTACTTTACAACACACACAGGGACCATGGGGAACAAAAGTAGCCCCCCTCCAGAAGGAAGGACAGTGTCAGCACCACTTCAGAGATGATTTGAGGATCTACAGCCGAGTGATACACAAATAAGATACATTTTTGTTAATAGTTAAGGTCCTTGAGGGTCCATTCACACCACATCCAGATTACCTCCAGACCAGATTGTTTTTGGACCCAAAATGCATCCCAATTCCAATTTTGGCCACCAGCGCAGTCCGTTCCAGACCAGAGCAGAAAAATACTGCTTGTCCTATTTTGTCTGGTCTGGAATGCACTGGAACGCATCAAAAACGTCTGGAACGCACCCATTTTAATTTCAATCGCGGCAAAATTGCAATGCACTATGTTCCAGATCTGGTCCGAAAAATGGTGTGAACCCGGCCTGAATGTATTTTTAAGATTTAACTCCTGAGTTTAGTGTCACTTTAATTGTTTTTAATGGCTGGACATAGTTTTAATGTGGCTTTAAAAGGAGAACTATGGGGTTAGGGGGTACCTTTAGGAGAACTCTGGGGTTTTCCCAGCCAATAAGGAAGCTATACCTCACTTTCCATGTTTCGGTGTCGGGAAGGGGGAGGAGTGTTATAAAAAGAGTCTATTTTCCAGCGTTCACTATGCTCTTGGTGTGGCGGTCCAGCCTAGCGTGCCCCATCTTGTCCAGCATCTTGGAATAAGGCCTCCAGCTTTGTAGTGCAAAATAGTTGTTTGCTTGGGATAGTGCAGGTGCTTCCACGCTCCATGATTCAACAGTCTTCTCCGGGGATCTCTTCAGGCGTCATGTGGAAGCTGTGGCAGGAAAAAGAACATTCATATAACATATAACACGTTATGGAACATGTAGGCCGACTCCAGTCCAACAGCTGTGGTGCAAAACTCTGACAACCCCAGGCATGACTCCTAGAGGCAGATGCATGATGGGATTTGTAAACTCACCCCAGCTGGAGGGCCGGAGTTTGCCTAGCCCTGATCTAGATGTTTGGGACACCCAGAAAAATTAGATTTACTTTAAATCACTAATAAGTTTGGATGCACCGATACCAGTTTTTCGAAAGCGACTACCCATATTTTTTTCCGGTACTCACCAATACCGAATACTGGTACCGGCATCCCGAGGTACCGTGAGCCCGGCTTATCAAGGAGTCGGGCGGCGGCGGTGTTCCATCGAAAGATCAGGTCAGGAAGCCAGGCTGTCTAGCAGTGTTGCTAGGCAGCGTGAAGACAGCTTCTTAACCAATCAGGAAGCCGGGAGGTGGGTCATGACCTGCCGCCTGGGTTCCTGATTGGTCAGAAAGCCAGGCTGCATAGCAGCAAGTGAAGCTGGTTTCCTGGCCAGTCAGGAAACCGGGAGGCAGGTCATGACGTGCTGCCCGGCTTCCCGATCGGTCAGGAAGCAAGGCTGCGTAGCGACAAGTGAAGCTGGCTTCTTATCCAATCAGGAAAAAGGGAGGCGGGTCATGACGTGCTGCTGGCTTCCTTATTGGCTGAGAAGCCGACTCCATGCTCCCTCATGACACTGCCAGTCAGAGGAAATCTCCCCCTGACCGGAAGTTCCGGTATCGGAGGGAAGTATCGGAGCATTTGGGTGAGTACGAGCACTCTCCCAAATACTCTGTATCGACACTGATACCACTATGGGTGCATCCCTACTAATTAGGTAATCAAGTCAGATACCCCATCACTACACTCAATTAAGCTAAGCATGATGCACAATTTGCATACGCAGAGGTAATCCTCTCAACTCTTCCTGTGAGAATAGTTCAGTACAGTTGGAGGCGCGCTTCTGTCACATGCCTTGAGTTGGAATCTTAAAAGAGTATCTCCAATTTTGTTCAGAAAAAAAATAAATCAATCCCCTCTAGGTGATCAATGTTCAATCAGGGATCAAACCCCCAACTTGTTGCTGCTCTGAAGAAATAGTTTCTTTCACCGCGTCCTTCCAAACTGATCCCTGAATAGGGGGCTCGGGGGTTCGGTGTAATCAGTTGGTGGACTTTCTGTGTTGTAATGAGGAAAGTTGCAGCGTCAGGATCCCTTTAGCAGTAATTAACCCTTAGCGAGTATCTCGCCAGATACGAAATTCCTATCTAAAAAATGATTTGCATCTTAGTGGAGACTTTTGGGAAAATCAGTCAGCCAATCACAGAAGCAGGAAGTGACATTCCCTAAAGCGCTCCATATACCAACTGTGTGCAGAATGCCTCCAGGTCCCCATATTGCATTACATTTTTATTTTTTTTGGACGGTTTTAGAAAATTTCAGCTGCTGCGATTGTACACGGAAAGGTGATCTCTAATAACATTAACCACCTCCCGTCCATGGCCGTTCCTGAACAGACGGATGGGAGCCTTATAGCAGCGGGAGGGCGTCTTAAGACGTCCGGCCCCTCCCCCCAGCTTGTTCACGGTGCCCGGCGCGCACACGAGTGGGGAAACTCTGCATTCAGTGTCACTCTCTGATACAGAACACCGGTGAGAAGCTGATGAAGCAGATCTGTGCTTCATCAGCTTCTCCGGGGGTCCCTAGGTGACATTAGGTGTCTTGAAGACCCCTGATGTCTCCATAAAGAGGACCTGTCATGTAAATTGGCTATCACATAGGGGATTTCTTAGTCCCCTATGTGATAGCAATAAAGTTAAGTGCAAAAAAAAAAAGTTTAAAAACAATTAAAAGCATTAAAAAAAAAAATAGTCACACATAAAAAGAATGTAAAATAACGCAATTTTTTTTAAAGTCACCCCCCCACATACAAATGCAAACATGCATTGGGTGCACCAACGTGCGAAAACGAAGATTCTGCCTATTGTGCCGCACACGTTACATATCGCCGCGAACGTTATAGTGAGAGTAATAATTTTAGGGCCATCAATCACTGATAACACGAAACTGATGAGCCGTAAAGGCTTTTGGCTGGCCTCTGACAAATTTTGGGTATGGTAGTTTTCTGCGATTTCGCACAATTTTAAGGCTTGACATGTTTGGTGTCTGTTTACCCGATGTGACCCCGTCTTTTATATTTTACCAAAAAATTGGGGTGATAATAAATATTTCCTAACATTTCATAGGGAAAAAGGTTTTTTTTCAAAATTTAGGGTACTTTTTTTATTATATAGTAAAAAAATAACGCCCCCCTCCCCCCACCCCCCAGTGGTGATTAAATACCTCCAAAAGAAAGCTCTATGTGTCCCCAAAAAAATGGTATAAAATTCATTTCAGTACAGCGCTGTATGACGGAATAAATGTCAAGTACCACAGCGCTGAATACTGAAAAATGACCAGGACAGGAAGGGGGTGTAAACCCCCCCCCGGTCATCAAGTGGTTATCTGACAAAATGGCTGGTGTAGCGAGTTGAGTTTCCCTTTAAGGAAGTAGAAGGCTATGAAAATGCTTTGGAGGAACATATCTAGACCAATGGCCCATAAAAAGGGCGGGGACAATCAGTAACACAGACTGAAGGTGCATGTGAACTCTTTGCATTATCAGGATTATGGGAATGGATGCATGGTTACTAGTTTTAGCTTCCCGCAGGATAGTCAAGCTGAAGTACATCCGTATGACAGTCTAAACAAGCACCAGATCCAGTTACTGTGGAATGCAAAAGCCTCATAAAGTACAAAAAAAACATCTTCCTTTACTTTCCCTGACCGAGCCAAATCCTCCTTCAGTTGTGTCTCACACGCTCCCCCTCCCAGACACTGCAGCTCACAGTGGGAGGGTTTCAGCAGCAGAGGCAGTGCTGTGAATCTAGAAAATAGTGGGCGGGACTAGGTGTGGTCAGGTGACAATTGACAAATTACAGGCTTCATGAATCAGCAGTGACATAGCTAGTAACTAGGGATGCACCGATACTAGGTGCCGATTATTTGGGCGAGTGCTTGTACTCGCCCAAATGCTCCCGATGCCTAGCCCGGTATGGGAACTTCTGGTATCAGGAAGCCGAGTGGCGAGTCACTACACGCTACCCGGCTTCCTGACTAACCGGGAAGCCAGCTCCATGCTCCGTCGTCACCTGCCAATGAGGGAGCATGGAGACGGCTTCCTGGCTAGTCAGGAAGCTGGGCGGTGAGTCATTACACATCGTCACCGGGCTTCCCTAATGGGGCTTCTGGTGTCGGTATTGGGGAGTACCGGAAAAAAATATATCGGGTGACAGCATTGGAGGGGTGACTGCCAGTCATTTTGGTGTTACCCCCTCATAAAAGTCAGGCACTCGGTCACGGACCGAAAGCCTGACAGTGTCAGGAGAGAGGAGGGGACCTGGCGGCATACCTCATCCTGCCGGGTGAACGTCCCCTCCTCTCTCTGCCGGCATCCATCACCAAGATGGCCGCCGGCAGGTGTCAATTAGACGACCGCACATGCGCGATTACGTCAACGCATCACCCAGTCTCCGCTTTGGGTGACACGCGGCCTCGGGACGCCCCTGATCTCTCTGTTCCCATCTCCCAACTGTGCTCCTGCGTTGTCACCTGTCACATGCCCTCCTGATGGAGACTACAAGCTGCTGTTTCAACACATTTTTACACAAGCGCGGTCCACTGTTGTCACCATTGGGGGGAAACCCGCCCAGGTAAAAGCCACGCAGCCATCGCTGGGGTGCATATAGATGAGAAGTGGCTGGAAATAGGCTGCAGGTGGAAAAAAAAAAAACCTAAGCAATCTGTCCCTGCAGAAAAAACCTGTACCGAGCTGCTGGCGCCAACGCCGACTGATTCCCATTTCCAGGGACAGGATGTCCCAGCAGGGTCTGTCCCTGGAAATCAGGGACTATGGGTGACTTGGTTCTGTAGGGAGTTGTGTCATCCCTTTAGGGACACTTGGGAAAACTAATGCAGTGTCTATGACATGTTCAATATAAATACATCTCTCTGCAGATCTGCAGGGCACTATGATGTCATGCAGCAGTAGTTGGATTGCATTCTATAATAAGAATTGCAGCCGATCTTCCATATACATACAATAGACTATGCAGCGATTCTCCCAGATAACGTCACATTCCAGGGGCAGCACTGTGCGGGTGTCCTGCATTCAGACTCCTCCGTATCCCCCTTCATAGGTATACCCGCCGATACTCCCTCCAATCTCAGCGGCCATCAACTTCCCCGAGTCCTGGCAACCGTGCAGCGCACGGCATGCTGGTAGTGTAGTCCGGCGGAGACGCTCAGCCGCTGCAGTGCGCTAGAGACGAACTACATTTCCCATGAGTCCTCCCGACACAGCGCTAGAACTCTCAGCCGCCGTTAGTCTTATATATGTCTCTTGTCTAATGACTGAACTTTAATAACGACGGCCATTTTGTTGGAGTCCGAGACCTATAGAAGAGATGAGCTGATGTCTGCAAAAATGTCTTCGGCACTGGGGACAATCTCATCATGGGCTCTTTAATAGGAAAAAAAAAAATGATGAAAGGTGTAACCTGTGAGAGCTACATTATGTCAGCGTTAAATGTGACAGAATTGTATTTTGTGACAGAATCTGATATTGCTGCATGTGTCTTTCTAATCAGATCCCATGCACAGCATGTGTAGGTGTATGCAGTGCTGCCGGAGCTGTGCGCTCCAGGAATC